TTTTTTTTTTTTTTTTTTTTTTTTTTTTTTTTTTTTTTTTTGGTACCAGGGATTGAACTTGGGACCTTGTACTTGGGAGGCAGACAGTGCAATCACTGAGCTAGATCTCTGACTCTAGCCATTTTTTTTTCCTAATGGAGAGAAATCCCAAGTAAAGAGAGAATTGTAAAAAAAAAACTGGTATTTTTTTCTTTTTCTGGTGCTGGGGACTGAACTCAGAGTCTTCACAATGAGCTACATTCCAAGCCATTTTCTTCACTTTTTACTTTCAGACAGGGTCTCACTATGTCACTAAGTTGCTCAGGCTGGACTCTAGTTTGTGATTTTGCTGCCTTAGCCTCCTAGAGTGCTAGGATTACAAGTGGGCTTCACGATGCCCAATTGAGTCTTCGGAAAATTATATATAATTAGTTTACTTTTTAATCTTTCAAGACATGCCTAAAGAAATTCAATGTTTATCTATCAAAACATAATTATTTTAAGTTGCTGTGTTCATTGGAACAATGAGTTGAGACCCCTTGGTAGACTTCAGTGGAATGTTATCTAAACTAGTATGAAGGAGCACCAGCTTCCAAGGTCACCTCTCCATCACCTGTCTTTCTTACAAGGGACTTGACTTCTTGGGAGTGCTGAACTGTGAAGATTTGGGGTAGGTGTTTCATTTCTTTCTGTGATGTTATTTTCTCTGAGTCAGTTCTTTTTGTCTTTACACTTATTGGCTAAAAATGAATGCGGGGGTATTCTTGCATTAAGAACATCATTAAATCCAAAAGAGTGAGTCAGAACACCACCATGGTTATCATGTAATCTAGATGATAGTGACCCTGTTTGTGTGCCTATAGAGGGGCACAAAAAGGACAGCAAGTCTGGGAACATGCCATTTCCTGCTGGAAAGCTCATGGTCTCCTGGCACTCAAGAACTTTATGATAGATAGCATAGACAGGTTAGGCACCATAGCAAATAAAGTGCTTAAAACTGAATTTAACAGAATATAACATAAATTGTTTTCTATCCTTTGTACCACTCAAAACTTGATGGCTCTAAGATGTGAATTAGCCACTCATTTCTCTCACTCATGCGCACATTTATTAAGCAATCTAACTACATCTGCCTAATGAATCCCACTCCCTGTGGGAAGGAGAGAAGCCTGCATTCTCAAAAGCAGACAGAAAACCACACAGTTCCTCCTAGAACTTGAGATGCTGCATAGTCAAAGGATCCGAAAGGATGGGTACTTTTTCTATTTTCAGTAAAAGCTTGGACTGGGAGAGTTCAGATCCCTCCTCAGAGAATCAAGTGTTTCCTATGCCTCCACCACAGTGAGAGGGACTGTCAGGACAAAGACACCTTCAGGAGATCAGAGCCTCTCCACCCACTTCCCATCACCCATTGCCAGCTGAGAACACACGGAATTTGTTTCTCAAGGAGGAGGGTGACAGAGCAGAGAGGGTAATGACTACACTGATGGTGGAGTGTTCTACAGAAAGGCTCCTTTTAACAGGTGCAAATGCAATAGAGATAAATAGCATCCTGCACTGCAACCTCAAAACAAAGAATGTAACTGCCACACAGACAAGCCCCCTGCCCTATGCAGCAATCATAAAACTACAGCATGGCACAGAAAACACATTTAGGCACTTGACCAAAGAGCTTAACGGTGTTGCAGGGTGCTGCCACTGAGGATGCCCCTCAGGCTGTGGTAACAGGAAGAACTTCCTCAGAAGGCACTGGGCTCCCAAGCACACTTGCTCTACCAGGGAGCCTGAATTCCACCACGAGGAGATGGGGCGGGGAGTGTTGTGTGAGTTTGGGTTTCAAACCTCCACTTCCCTTAACAGAGTATAAACACAAAGGTCACCTTGGGGAAGCCACATTTCCAGGCAATCTGTGTTGAAGGAGAATAGCACTACGACTCTGTTGGCCAATGTATTTTGGCATTGTTTCTTTATCAGCTGATGCAGATGAAGGTTTTCCAAATGTAGATACTAATACCTGCAAGACAACTTATCACAAACGAGGGGAAATGTTCACATATTCAAAGGTACAGTAACTATAATTTTTTTTAAATCACATTTTAAGCCACACAACAACAATTGAAAGGTCCTTAAAAAAAAGTAGAGGGAAATGTGGGAGGATGGGCTAGATCCCCCTCAAAGTGATGGTAAGAACAGACTGATCACCATGTCCAAATGATTACAAGATCTCAAAGACCACAGAATAAACAATCCCAACATGTACCTCTTTGGGTCACATGTGTTCAGCTAAGAACGTATTAGAGGAGAAGGAAAGCATGACATTCTTTCCAGTGTTGTCTCTACAACTGGTCCAAGAACTGAGGTGTGAATTCTCAGTGCTCCCTATTAAGAAGCAAACTTTTCAGACAGCAGAAAAAGCCGGAAGTGGAGTGAGGTGCTTGAGTTTGACCCTGTGAATTTCCACCCTTTCCAGGCAGCTTGAGGGTGGCATGAACCTTCACTTCGCTTTCACGGCTGCCAACCATCAGCCATTGTGTGCCCTCATGAATCAGTCTTTTTGATGCCTTCCCTAAAATCGAGCCTATGAAGATATCTTGATGCACTTAAAAGTGAGGGATTCGCATATCTGATCTTTTTCCTTCAAAACATCTTTGTCTTTTTGAGAACATGTGCTGTTCTCATATCCAGCCCCATGGCAAGAAGAAACCTCTGTGGGCCCATGAACATTTTCAAATTCACCAAGAAATAACTCAAAACAGGGGGACAGTTGAAAGTGCAGGATCAGCCAGGTACAGTGGCACATGGCTATAATCCCAGCACTCTGGGAGGCCGAGGTAGGAGGACAGCAAGATTGAGCACAGCCTAGACAATTTAGGGAGACCCTATCACAATACAAAAAATTTTAAAAGACTGAAAATGTAGCTCAGTGCAAAGGCTCTGGATTCAATCTCCAGGACTATAAAAAACAAGCAAACAAGCAAAAAACGAGAACAAACAACAACAACAAAAAGGTGCAGGATGATGCAGACTGGGTGAGACTTCTCTGTCTCCTGGGGTACATGCCACATAACATATCATCCACACACAGCGACCAAGTGAGGTGGTGGGGCAATCTGTTGGAAAGTGACATCAAATCTAGTACAAGACCTATAGCAGCCTCCATTAGCAGCAGTGACAAGTTCTTGAATCATTAGAACAGTGAGTTTCGATTTTGACCAGATTTTGACCAACTAGGCCACTGTAGGCATTTTTGAGGAGTAGGGTGGCTCTTAATGATTTCCGTGGCTTCTGTTAAAGACTGCTCTTGATTACTCCTAAGTGCTGGGGAGTGAGCAGACCACAGGCCCTTCAGAGCCCCACAAGAGTTTTGTGTGTAGGTGTGTGTGCCTCTGTGTATGTGTGTGATCATGCCATGTCAGAAATACCCAAAGTCCTTGAACTATACACTTAGAATTTCACATAGCAAGTGCAGGTAAGAAATGCTAGCACTTCTTTTTACTCACAGAAACTGACTCACACCAGGAAGTTGTCTCTGTAGTTCCACACATTAGTATCAGTGAGTGTAGTTTCACTAATATAAGCTGTTCTGGCTCACGTGCAGGAAATAGCACTGAGACAGAGTGGTAAAAACCTTGGCCACACTGTCTCTGGGGCACATCTGTTAGTCACACATCCCAGCCATGGAGGCCAAGTGTTCCTGACAGCAGGTGGGTCTCTGAGGAGCTATGTCTCTGGGAAAACTCTGGTTCCTGATGAGGCGGTGATTGTCCTCTTTCTAAAGCTGTCCTGGAAGATGAGGAGCAGCTGAACTCTGAACTAATATGGAGTCAGCAAAGTTCCAACTCAAGTCCTGCCATTCCCCTAGCCCAATTCCACGACTGCAGCAGAGTTAGTGGCAGGATCAGTACTAGTGTAATGAGTGGGTTTGGGGAACCCTGCACTGATCCTATGAAACCCCAACTAGGGTGTCCCCTGTCACCATTAGACTTTGTTGGGTGTCTTGGCAGACTGGGTATAGACAAGGCAGCCCAAGTGGATGCAGTCTGTATTCTGGCCCAGCCAGGACTCACTTCACACTGCCATGGGGCATGGAGCTGATGAAAGACAGCAGCCTTCCCAGGCACAGACCCCTACCCAGCAGGCTCTTTTGGATATGATTTTAGGGAATACAAAGGACCCACTGTACCAGAGCGCGTGATCCACAGGTCCTGGGAAGCGAGGCTGAAAGCTTCTCTGTGGCTGCAGCACCCTGCGATCCCCTAGCCCTCAGCTCCTGTTGAAGTGCCAGGTTCTGCTTTGTCAAAGCATCTATCTGGTCCTGGAGTTCACTGTGAGCAACAGACCACTGAGCTGCCTGTTTCCTGAGTTCAACCCGAAGGTCAGAAACCTGGTGCTGTAATTGCTGCTGTGGGGAGAGAACACCAAGCACCTCAGAGCGCTGCTGGGTGCCTCTGCACCACATCCAAGCCTCTTCCCTTGGGAGACTTCCCATGTGACATCAGAGGAGAACAATAAAAACTACAACAACTTCACCTATTCTCATGTCTCTCTTTTTTTCACCTATTTTTATCAAGTGGTGTCCACTGTGCATTATTCCACACAATGTGACTGGTAAAGATGGTGGGTGAATTATTATTATATGTTACTATATTGCTATGACAAAAGAGAGCAGGATTCTTTTCTCCTTCTCATCTTATCCTCATGGGGTCAGTGTGGCAGGAGTCAGAAAGTATGACAAGTACTTTGGGATATCAGATCATGCTTCCTCAAATGTGCCTTCTTGGCCTGAGGACTGTTGAGCTGTGGTACATAAGCAGCAGCAGGTGCAGGAGAACTCCTGCTCCCTCTAAGTGTGGAAGAGGAGGACACAGATCACAGGGACAGAAAGCATTTGCCCATACCTGGGTTAACCTCTGGAGACAGCTTTAGACCCTTTTCCTGGAGATATCTCAAAGGACCAACAGGGACCAGCTCTACCAGAATCCTTTATCTACCTTCCCAAGACTTGTGGCCTCAAGACTCAAAGTCCTTCTCCTGGTTCTATTCCTTCTCTAAAAATCCCATTCCATGTTGAAGATGGTACAGAAGCCAAGTTTAAAGCTGTCTCTTTGAGAAGGAACAATTTCCTGGCTGTCTCCCATGTTCTTAACCCTGTGTGTTTTTCTTGCTGGTCTGTCTCTTGTACAAGGATCTCCTCCAAGTAACAAACTGCTTCTCTTATCTTACAGTATTTCCCTTTCACAGAGATTATCTCCCAAAAGATTACCTCCAAAAAGTCACATTGCAGGTTGATTAAAATTTAAAGGGAAAACGACAGATAATTTGAGAAAAAATTAGCAATCATACTATTCTCCTAGTTAATTCCAGAAACAATGGGAACAGGATTGCATTTTAATTCTAAATTAAATTAACACCCTTGTGCCTAGAATAAATAGGGACAGGAGGGAGTGGTGGGCAGTGCAGGCTGAGGGGCTTCAGGGAAGCAGAGGCTCGAGTGGGGCAGGGGAGAAGCTGGTAAAGGTCTAGAAGTTGGACGAGATGGTTCAAGCCATGCGAACCTTCTGTTTTGGGGGTTGTTTAAACCAAAATTTTGAAGCCTCATGCCTTCTCTCATGTTGCCAGAGAAAAATTGACACATTCACATTTTCTTTAACTCCTCACCTTGCCTCTTATCCATCAGAAAAGAAAGTCACAGTAAGGGAAGAAAGATACTAAGAGGAAATCAAATACTGGCATCCAATGTAAGTGCATCACTGAAATGGTCCTGCAGGACAACCAAAGCATGGGGAAATTTCAGTGTCTGGTCTCAGGTTGGAAGCAGGGTCATCCCTGAGAGACAACCTTCACATGCACACTGCACCCAGCTCTCCACGATCCACTCACCAGCATCTGCTCGGTCCTGAGGTCCTCGATGGGGACCCTTGCTGTGATGTCCTCTAAGTCGGCCCTGGCTCCTGGGCCTGGGTCTTCCACAGGGCTCACCTCCACTCCTTCAATGGCCTCCAGGTGACTGGTCAGCATTCTGGTGGGGAGGAAGAATCAAGGGGCCCCTAGGCATTGCCACCTCTGCCCCTCTGTGGGGCTGATGTCCTCACCGCGCTTCCACTAAGAGCGAGTGTGAGCAAACCCCCCACTACCCTACTGCATTTCTGTGCCGGGTCTGAGACTGACGAAACAGAAAGATGCCTTGTGGCTGGATGCCACAGAACAGAAGGGGCCGAACCTCTCACAAGTGGCCTGCCCTCAACATGAGCAGAAAGTGCTGACATTTATGCAGAATCGGTGTGACCTCTGACTGAGCACTACTTCAGATATGAGCAGAGGTCTCAAGGGGACACTGAAGAATCCTCTGCTCCTTTATCAGGCCTCCACCTGGGTCAAACCAAGACCAGGGGCTGTGTGAAGCTTAGTTCTGGAGTCATGGCGAGGTCCCCACAGGAGACCTCTACATCCTGTGATCGTAAGAGAAGCATGCCGGTCCACAGCAGCCGGGCCCTGGCATGTGGCACACACAGCAATTAAAACTGGAGGCAAAGCCAGGCATGATGGCACACGCCTGGAATCCCAGCCCTCTGGGAGGCTGAGGCAAAAGGGTCAAAGATTAGAGCCCCACCTTTAGCAATTTAGTGAGACCTTTGTCTCAAAATATAAACAAACAAACAAACCAAGGATGTAGCTTAGTGCAAAGGTCCTGGGTTCAACCACACACCAAAAAAACAACAACAAAAAAAGGAAGTGTAAAAGACACAGACCTCTTTTCCAAACCCAGATCAGCCTGCTCCCTCTTTCCTCCATGGGGACCATTGAGTAAAAGGTGGGGTGTGATGGTAGGAAGCTGAGGTGACTCTCACCAGGTAGAGCTTTCAGGACTCTCAGAAATTTGGGAGGGGGTTCCTGATCTCAAATTGTTACAAACAGAATACTCTTTATTTATATTTTGAGTTTTTCATATAAATAAAAAAAAGATAAAAGACAGATAATAGGAAGTAGAGAAATAGGTCATTTTCAAATGGGAAGGAAATTAAGACATGGAGGGGGAAGGAAAGGGAAAGGTAATGAAAGAAGAATTGAGATGTGTTATGTACATGTATGTACCAATTTCCCACAGGGAAAATAATCATTGTATACTACAAACAGGTACTAAAGAGAAATAAGTGAAAGAATGGTAATAAAGCCCAAAAAACCAGAAATGTTTTTATTCATGAACGTCAGAGAGTATACAAAGCAAAGAATGAATGATTTAACCACAGTGCCTGTAATGCCCTACCCCCGTCACTCTCCTTGCTGGCCTCACCTGGGTGTCCTGCTGCAGACATGATGGACTGGTCACTTCTCTGCAGGACCTCGGTATCCTCAGTGCCACACACCTAACCCCCTTCGTCCAGAGGAGACCCTGTCTTGGCCTGGGTCGCCTCACTAGACGATGACAGTACCTACTTTCAGGACCCAGTTCATCTCTGTGGAGCCCCAACACCTGCTCCTGAGTCAACCCACATCTCTAGAACCTTTGGTATTGATTCTAAACCGACGCCCTGTCTTAAAGAGCCATACCTTCTCACACAGCTTTTTGGTGCTGTCAACATAAATGATAATTAGATGTCTAAAACCTGTGATTCAGATTCAGTAAGCTCATGGTCAGTGGAATATGTCTATCCACAGAGAGAATTGCAGAAAGCTAAAATTTTCTTTCAATTTGACAGATGAAAACATGTTTAATATCAAGTTTTCAATGTGCAATATGTAGTAAGAACTTATTCCTCTTAGTGCAGATTCATATATAAACTTTCTTTGGGTGTCAAAACAAATTGTTTGCTAGAAGAAATGTTTGTGTTCCATGAAAGTTTAAATAGAAAACAAGATTCAAAATTTCCTCCCTTCACAGAACACATCTCTGTCCAGCTGGCCGCATGAGTTTGTGATGAGGCCCATGTGAGATGCTGGGTGTTAATCTGGCCAACATCTCCCACCACAGCTCTGCAGATGGACTAGCCAACTATCCAAAGAGCAGATAGGAGGAACCTTTTGCACACGAGTGCATGAGAGAAGTGACAATGGTCCTGAGGCCAAAGCCTCAGCAGCGTCAGGGGCAGAATACGCCCCTCCTATGTGAGAACTGACTCTTGTTCTCAGCCTACGGTCCCAAGCTCAAGTTCTACCTGGCCTAACCGCACTAGCCAGGGGAGGCCAAACTCACAGCACTGCTGACTTTCCTGTGGGATGGTCAGAATGTTGGGCAGATCTGTGGACTGGAGCCTTAGGGCCTGAGTAGACTCCACATCAGTGCAGCTCGCCCCTTCCCTACAAAAGATGGAGGGGAGGCCTGTCCTCTCCAGCCCTCACTCTGCCATGAGCAGAGGCTCCTGCGTGTGCCACACCAGCCTCGGGCATCAGATTCTGCATGGGGCACATGTCAGTGGCACTCTGTAAGTGATAAAGTGTGACCAGCGAATGGAGGAGGTATGCAGGGCCTTTGCTGGCTTCAGATCCTACTGTGGTTGAACCGGTCTGTGTGCACCCTGGTGGAAACCACAGTGCATTTCTCATTCATCTTCTGCAATCAGAGGCCAACTCCAGGGAGGGCTGTTAGTGACAGAAATGCTTTGTAAAATAATTTATCCTTTCAGATTTCCATTTTAACGGAATATTTCTGAAGTGATATTCACCTTGACAAAGGAAATAACAATTTCTAAATATGACCTCTGGCAGTGACAACATGATTTGGGGTTACTGTAACAAAATTAGATTACAATCCATCCAATCCAAGGCATCGAGTAGATGAATGGATGATGTCAGAATACTAAGTTAAACTGTGTGGCAAATGCCATCCAGGAACAGTATGCACTTGGATGCAAGTTGTATTCTCTGATACTTTTATGCCTTTGTAAACACAGGAGTGGAAGATTCCAGGGAATATCTGAAGGTGTTTTGAGTTCCTAAAACTGCCCTACAATCATTATGGCAAAAGTATGTTTGCGGACAAAGCAACAGTACGAGCCCTACAATAAAACCTAGATCCAGATTTTAAAACATTTTGGAATCATCTTACTACAAGCTGTTCCTCACTTGATAAATCAAAAATGTAAACATTTATTCCCACTTCCCTGTCTTTCCTCAGGTGGACCCAAGAAGTCAGGCTCTTTTGGAGCACCCCAGTGCAGTTTCTTTTGGATTTTGTAAATGACCCTGAATATTATATGGGTGACAAATTCTATGTTCTCTTTATAATACTTTGTAAAGATTTAACAAATGAAAAGGTGTCGCCCTAGAAGCAAAGTGCTGAGGCACCTTATGGAAACAGTCAGATCTGCAGAGTCAAGCACTCTCCACTGGTCTCTAGATCTGCCTTCTGAGTGACCCCGCAGAGAACATTGTGCTTCCACAGTCACTCTGTGTCCAGTGTTGCTGACCACCATGGCAACCATTCTATTTGTGTGCATCTGTTTTTGTAGGAGGGTCCAATTGACTCCGTAGGCACAGCTGAGGCTGACATGGAAAGGAGATGCCACAGTCCTTCCTGAAGATGGAGATGGTGCCAGAAAAGCACTTCCACAAAGCATGACTGAAGGTGAGAACAAGAGACAGAGCAGAAGACAAACATCACTGGCTCCAGGATGGCAGATGTCCCAGTCTCAGATGGAGGAGACATGGGGGTCCCCATGCAGAGGACAGGAGAATGTGTCATCCTTAGAAACAGGAGCTGACCTAAGAGCTGACATGGAGAAGTATAAGTCCTCCCTCAAACACCCAAAAGCAGGAGGCATTGAGGATGTGGGCTCTGAGTCACTCTGTGGGGATTCCTGTGGCCCCAAAAACACATGTTCTGTCTAACACAGCTAGATGCAGTTTGAGGTTTGGAGGGCTGAGGTGGTAGACCAGGTGCAAAAGGAAGGAGAGGCTGGGCAAAGACACAACAGGAGGACAAGGAGATCGGAGCCACACAGGGTACTGAATATAACAAGAAATATGTCATCAACATCACTGGCTTTATCAGAAAATTTCAGGAAGGCGCAGGGAGAAAAGCAACACTGACCCAAGGAAGTTAGTCATAGAGAAGGCTGTAAATCTCAGCATTCAGTTTCTTTATCTGTAAAATAGGAGATTTGGGGAAATTCCTTAAGATTTCACTGAGCCCCAAAAAGCGGTAATTGTGTACTTTAGTGGAGAAAACTTTGTGTTTACTGGGGACCACTGAGAAAACACTGAAAATATCACTAGCAATTGTTCCACATAAGGCAAACCCCTTCATAAGAAAACTCAGTAAATGAGGTCACAACGTTATTTGAGCACACTGGAGAAAGTCTCATTTACTGCAGGAGAGATGTTTGAGTTGACGGGAAGAGTTGTGAATGTCCCCACCTCTCCACTCCACCCGTGGTCCCATGCCTACCAGCCGCTCTCCCCCTACCCATCTTTTGGCCACCGTGAAGGTCTCTGCAGAGCAGGTCAGCCAGAGAGGAACAGATCTTACCTCTCAGCCTCTGAGCAGCAGGCCAGAGTCTCTTTCTCCCCAGTCCCCAAATGAGGGACTGAAGGGAATGTAGCTTCAGTTTTTGTGGGAATGTTGATAAATGAAGAGGAATGCCTACCGGATTGACAAAACCTGGCTGCCTTTACCAGTCTCCCTCGTCTCCCACTCCACTGGGAGCCTGCCTTTAGCCAACAGGTCCTGAGTCATGGAGCGCTGCAGCCAGGCACCCTCGAGCTTATGTGACCTTGAGCCTGAGAAGAGCAATATGAGGGGTGACCCTAAACTCAGCACAGGGCCCCCCCGGGCTGGACAGGAGCTGTGCAGACCTGATACAAGCCAGGCTCACAGAAACATAGTTCGAATTAGAGGTGCCCTATTTGTTCTCTGCTTTGCAAGCCACTGGCAAAGTGACTGGGCCACACGTTGGCAGCTGAGGACACAGCCCAGAGGTAGGACAGGTTGCCAGGCGAGGCTGGGGCCAGAATCTGCACCTGTTGCTCTTCAGGGGGTACAACTTCCCACTATCCAATAACCCACTTTAACTGTTCTGCAACAAAACTTTTACAAAGTGATTTTTTTCTTTCCTCTTCTTGCAGTAAGCCTGGAAACAAAATAAAGAGAATCTAAAATGCTATTTGTCAAATTTATGCTCAATTTCTTTAAAAGATCAAAAAAGTTCAAATCAAGCCCATGCTACTACCACCACCATTTCTGCCTTTGGTGCAACTGTAGTTCTTGGGCTCCTTCATAAAGCAGGAGCTAAGGGCACATCCAGCCCAAAGGATATTCTCTACAAAATGTTTATGGTATTACAGTTTCCATATTACAAATTCTTCAAGAACTACTGACATGAGAAACTAGGATCACAGATCCAATGAATAAGAGAAAAGTCACAATGCAAACTATGTATACAGCAGCCCCTAATTAAATTAATCATGTGAAATGCTGAAGGGAAATTTACCACAATTTTAGCAAACCCCTGTTGTGTCTATGTAGTGAGGTACAAAGGATTTTTTCTATCCTGCTTTATAGATTCCTGTATTTTCTATAACAGAAGATATTACCTTTACAATCAGAAAATAATTATAAATTTTAAAGTTAATTTTAAATTGTGAGTTTAAGCACAAGAAAGAGTGGTTCTGTTTTTTAAAGTCCAGTTAAGAGCTGGAGCAGATGCCCATGGGTCCAGTGGCCAACTTTCAACATGGTTAACTGTGTTCCGGCCCTCTTGGAAAGACAGCACCCAATTCAAGGGGTCCTTCCTCTTACATCATAAAGTGTAGGTCACACTTTGAGATGCCACTGTGGGAAGCAGAATGGTAACCTCGAAGATGTTCATGTCCTAAACTCCTGGGTTTGCCTGTTCATCAGTGATCTTATGGAGCAGCAGGGCTCCCGAGATCTAATTAGGCTGGGGATTGTGAGACAGGGAGGTTTTCTGCTGTTGTTCATTGGGTCCTGATGAGTAAAGCGGGGAGGTAGGAAGGACAGTCAGACTCCAGAATGAAGGTGAGCAGGGGGATCTTTCCTTTTCTGGATCAAAATGAGACTGTTTAAAGTTTTGTAATTTAACAGTGCATTCAGGTATCTCATTTAAAAGTGCATTTGGATACTTTCATTAATTCTTCCAAATGAGCATTCCAGAAAATTATTTAATACCTAAGAAAAACAGCTTGTGTCTTTCTGTTCCTGTGTACTCCTCTCTGTACTACTGTACAGGCATTTGAGTCCTTCCAGTGGCCACTCTCAAGAAGGCCTGTGTGTGCCGACTGTTAAAGATCAGTGCCTGAATGAAAACCAAGACCTGTCATGTAAAGGATGATGATCCCAATGATGAATGTAACTGTACTGTATACCTAAAGTGTACCAATAAACTCAATGAAGAAAAAAAAAAAAGATCAGTGCCTGCCAACACTCTCTATCCACTTCCGGTCCCCATACTCGAGACCACACCCTCAAGGAGTTTCGGCCCACCTGAAAATATGGCTGCAGACAGGGGGACCTTCTCACATCCCACTGCACCCAGCACCAGAGGGGCCCTATGTAGAACAGCCACTCAGTGTATCTAGAGAGTGAACAAATAATCCAATAGAAATATATTTTTTAAATTATCCATTTCACACACAAAATATGAAGAGTGCAAACTTTGGTACATTACATTGATTTCTCCAGGAGCAGCAAGCCTTACAGAAATTCCTCTGTAGTTGGCGTCTGTCCACTGGTAATGTGCTATCACTTTTACTTCTGTTTGTGTCTTTCTCTTAGTGCCCACAATAGTAGTCTATGCTGGGGTTTTCCATGATTTTAAGTCCAAAGCTATAAAATAAAATGGGAAACAATGAGCAAAAGCTTTTTCTACTAAAAAGCACAGGGGCACATGTGAAGTGTAGACACAGTGAAAAGAGTTCCCACACAATTGTTCAATTTTTATTTAAATTGTATATTCTAGGAATAAATTATTTCTAGTACAATAAGATTTTGTTCAAAATTATTTCTTATACATGAAATTTTTCCTTGATTAGTAATTCATTCAGTTAACTATAGACACACTGTTCTAAACCCCTGAAATGGGCCTGCCTGTGAATGGGGAAAATTTTGAGTTGCTAAAATTCTTGTATTCTGACCCATAAGCTTGAACATACTCTCAGGGGCCTTCAAGATTATATAGTGCCTCTGTCTACGATCACCTTCTTTTTTAAAAAATTATTTTGTCAAGACTTGTCATGTAGAGGTACAAGATCCCAACAATGAGTGTAATTGTACTGCATCCCTAAAATGTACCAATAAACTCAATTAAAGCTGAAAAAAAATTATTTTGTCTTAGTTACTTTTTTTGTTGCTAGGACATAGCACCATATGCCCATAAGTTAATAGCTCACAGTTTATACAGGCTTCAGTCCATACTCAGCTGGCTTCAGATCAGGGTAGCATGACAGAAGGCCATCACAGAGGAGAAACAGTCCATAGTAGAGCAGGCAGGAGGCAGCAAGCAGCAGGCAGCAGCAGCAGCAAATGTCCCATTCCTTTTTATCCCATCCAAGTTACAAAGGCCTTTTGGGTGGTGCAACCCACTCCTAAAGTATGCCTTCCCATTATCTACACCAAGAACAATGCTAAACCAATCAAAGTACTAATCCAATCATCACACCTTTAATCCATATTCTTACACTCTTAATCCACACTCACACACTAGATCCACGCACCTTCAAAAATCCCCCATCAGTGCATGAGGCTTTGGGGGGATATTTAGATACAAGCCGTAATAGATTCTATTTTTTCTTTCTTCCTTTCTCTTTCTTTCTTTCTTTCTTTCTTTTTCTTTTTTAGTAGTACTAGTAATGAAATCCAGGCACACTAGTGAAGTGCTCCTACCACCAAGCCTCCAGCTCATGATTACATTTTTCTTGGAAACATCTTTATTTCTTCCTCTTAAGCCTCAACTTCCTCATGGCCAGAGGTGAAAATAAGAGGACAGGAATGAGAGGTCCCAAGACAGACTTGAGGTGGAGCCACTTGGGGTAGGTCAGACCTCATTAAAGCTGGAAGAATAGGCAGCAAAGAGGTTGGCAGTGCATGGACACAGTGAATGAAGATGAAAAGTGATGCAATCTCTAGAGCCAACATAAAGGTTGCCATCCAGGCTGGGAACAATGGCAGCTGTCAAACGTGCCACTCTTCCCACATTGGGGCTAGTCATGCTCTCTACCCTGAACTTACTTGTCACCCTCTGGCTTGCTTTTTTCTCCTCTGTAACCCCATTCTCACCTGCACCACATCGACGGCACTTTCTCACGTCCACCAGGACATAAGCCTCTTGAAGTTAATAAGTATCATAAGTAGTATAAGGATTTGTATTCTTAGTACAGAATGAATAACACTTCATATCCTCCAAATGTGCTGAATAAAGGACTGTGGAAACTATTATTAAGTTGTCATTATCCGAATCACACTTTCAGAGGCAGAGAGGTGATATCCAAGCCCTTAGAATGTGATGCCCAATAGGGATGACCTGTGTCTGGGAACCTTTTCCAGCCAGCCAGTAATAGCATAGTACAGAGTAGGGGGTGCTTGGTCACAGTGAGCAGAGTGAGCTTCAGGTCATGCAGGGCCTGCTCCCACCACAGACAGGCCAGAGATAAGTTCAGTACAGGAGTGGTCAGCCACACCAGTGAACAGACCCTGATAAAGATTGGACACTGAGCTCAGGCCAGCTTCCCAGCTGGCCAAATTCTGTGTCAAACAGGGAAGCTGAAGAGCTTTCCCAACTCCAGGGAGGGATCATGGGAACTCATGCTGGATTTTGTCTGAACTCTGTTCTATATAGCTGCATGTGTCTGGTTCTAATCTGTATCTTCTCCCCATAACAAAGAATATCTAGGGGTACTGTGGGTCCTCCTAGAGCAATAGTGATAAGCCTATGGCACGTGTGCCACAGTGGGCTTCTCTGTTGGCACAAGGACCAACTCGTCCAGTAGCTTAGCATTAGATAACAGAGGTTTTTCTCAGGTTAAACTGCAGTGTCAGCATTTTGCAATAAATAAGTGAGTTTGGGTTTGGAGTTTGGGTACTCAGTCTCTAAAAGGTTAGCTATCACTGTTCTAGAGGGTTGTTGACCCTGAGAGTGGTCTTGGGAAGCCCATTCTAGCAGCTAGTGTCAGAGCAGGGTATCTCTCTAGATCCCCAACTGGTCACATTGCAGTCAAGTAACAGAAGAATGGAAATCAGAGAGTTACTCAGCCTCTGGAAATAACCATCCTTGTGGTTATCAGACATAAAAGAAATGCTTAAAAGGAAAAATGCATAGAATTAAATTTGCATGTTGGTTTAAAGCAATGATTCAGTTTTCATTTAAAGTAAGAAACAGATGTGTATATAAAATAAAATGTGCACAGAATAGTAAAAATTGGACTGAACTCTGTGCCCTAAGAAGGTGGAGCATTGAGGAAACAGCATGAGTGGCTGAATTTGGATTTTCCAGGGATAATAAGACGAAGACAAGATGTATAAAAAGATAAGCCCAAATACTTTAAGAAGAAATGATGTAAAGAACAATTTAATGTCTTTCAGAGACAGGGAGGAGAAATCAATGTACTAAGAGAAAGAATTTTTAAAAATGGAAAATATTTTGTGACAAATTTTTATGTTGCCAACTGAGCAAGGGCATAATTTTGAAAGTTATTATTTAAACTAAAATATGGAATTGCAAGGGTTCTTAGGATTTGCCAAAGTTTTCAGTGTATTGAGATAAAGAATTAAATCCATTTTTTTTCCTTTTTTTTTGTTGTTGCCTTTGTGCAACTGCCCTCCTTGAAGACTCAAATTGGTTACCTACCCTTTTGGGTGTCAGTGTGTAAGACAACATGGTCACCAGCAGCTCCTCACCTCTAACTCAAGGTTTCCTTCCATCTTCTCATTCTGAAGAATTGTTTGGGAAGGAATTTGCAACAAGGAGACCCTTGGTCAAGAAAGGTGCCATAGTGGAGTTTGCTTGACTCCAGATGTTGGGAGCACCCTCCAGGAATGGTGTCTTCTTAGGAAACAAAAAGGGATGTAAACCTCCCCAGAGAAGGGGTGATCTGCAGCCTGGAAAGAAAAATGCCTGACCTAATTAAAGTAAGAATACACATCAAGGGACCTTGACCATCACATAACCAGAGGTCCAGTGGGTTTCCATCAACATGGAATTTTGATGAGCACATGAGTGAAGTTTGACTCACTGTGTGTTGCCCATAGAGAGAACGTGGAGCAGGGTGGTCCAGATCTGAGCTGAGAAGGTCCTGGCCCCACCACTTACTGGCCTGTGACCCTCTCCAACTTCCATTTCTTCATCTGTGCAGCTTAAAACTGCACCCATCACCTCACCCTGCTAAGTATTCACTGAGGTAACTTAGCTCTGCTCACTAAATTTTCTCAGCACATTGGGGCCTTGTCTCTGGGACTTGCTGATGTGAACTGAAACCCAATTTCCCTTTGTTAGAGTAAAACAAAACATGACAAAACTTCAAAGGGCTTCCTCCCTCCCCTTATGATTCTCTTTTCTCAAGCAATTTTGGGTTGCCTTGAATCCAATTCTATTTCTGGTTCCGAATTTTTTCTCATTCAGAAAATGCAACACTTGTCTTCTCTGTGGCAGGAAAAGTCTCTGCCTTAAAGGAAAGGTTGCAGCAAGGTCTCCTCCTTGCTTGGCACTCTTCTCACTTTGCCCCAGCATGGTGGTCAGGTCATGGTGCTCCCCAACTGCTCAGTCCCCAGCCCAGTGGTAGACACAGCTGTGGGCACTCATCTGGCCCTGGAGTGTGGGCTGGGCCTGCCGGGCAAAGCCATCTCCTTGTGGACCTTCTTCTTCTTCCTCTGCAAGGTGTGGAAGCCTTATGCAGTCTACCTGTTTAGCGTGGTGGAGGCCAGGCTACTGCCTGCCTGCCTGCCATTCTATGCTGCCTTCTACCCGAAGCACAAGGCCTGGGGCCTGGGCCTTTCATCCTACCAGGCCCTGCTTTTCCTGCTGGCCCTCAGCCATGGGGTGGGGGTGGCCTTCCTGGCTGCAGTGGCCTTAGATCATGTGGTTCAGCCTTGGCTCAAAGTCAACCTTCTGTTCCCGCGGGCAGCTGTGGCATCTCAGTCCTCCTCTGGCTTCTCTTGGACACCCTCACCTTGCTCATCTCCAAGACAGCCTGGAACTCCACTGAGTGTCCCAGCTTCTACCTCACGGCCGAGGCCTCTGGCTTCCCCTGCAGGAGATGTTCTTCTTCCTTCAGCTGCTTCTTCCCTTCGGCCTTGTTGTGTTCTGCAACTCAGATGTCCTCAGGACACTTCAGAGTCGACTGCGAGAGCCTGACAGGCAGCCCCAGCTGCAGGGGGCCAGGGTGCTAGTCACTGTGGTGCTGCTGCTGTTCGAACTGTGCTTCCTGCCCAGCATACTGGCCGGTGTCCTGATGCACATCCTCAGAGGCTCAGGCAGCTGCGGTGTCCTGCATGCAGTGGTGCACATGGCCCGCATTGCAGGCAGCCTCACCTACCTGCACAGCGTGCTGAGCCCAGTGCTCTACTGCTTCTCCAGCCGTGCCTTCACCCACTCCTACCACAAGGTACTCGACAGCCGGTAGGGCCGGAGCAGGGCAGCCAGGCACCCCCAGCTTTGACAAGGACTCCTACTCCCGACTCAGCTTCTGCCTCTGTTCCTGCGTATGCATGCCTGGGGTTTAAACAATGGCCACTGTGTTTTTAGTACTGCAGAGGAAGCAGAGTCTTGGACTGCGCTGTAGCTCCTGCAGGTGCTGTGATGTACACTCCCAGGATGTTTCTCTGCGGTTTTACACAGTGAGTGGTAAGCCAGTTAACAACTGGACCCTCCTCTGGAGTTATATCGCAGGGAAGTTGTCAAATGAGAAGCCATGCTTGGAGAAGTAGAACTGGCTGCCTCGGTATAAAAGAGAGGAAGGCTGAGAGCTGGTATTTCCCAATGCCATTAGGCCTCTGCAAGTCATTTTCACTTTTTTTGTTTTTTAATTTTTAAATTACTTATATATACTTTACTGGTATATGTTTGGATAGGTAATAATTGCAGTCATCTTGGGGTTTTGGCACATGTACATTTTGTATCTTGATTATTTTTACTTTGCATTCATCTCTTTGCTACTGCAAGTAACTGCTTTCTGGTCACCTACGGCGTAGACTGTGATAGCTCATGTCAGAAGTGCTTGGGCTGTGAAGAGGTTTGAACTTGCCTAAATTATTATAGTTTGTGCTCATCTCATTTTGTATGTAATTTTGCTGCTTTTATAAAATTTTGCTTTATTTTTATAGTTTATCCATGATGTCAAAAATAATGCGGTTAGTTCCCTAGTTTAGTACGAGAAGCACTTTCCTGCTAAATGTCTCAAAATTGCCTCTCACTTCTTAGTTGTTTGAATTTCTAAGTGCATTTGAAACTGGTTTCCCTTGCCCTGAAGAAATGCTTCCCAAGGGAAATACACAATGTTAAGATGTGGAATTGCATTTGAAATGATCATCTCCAACCTGATCCTGAGCATAACTTACAGAGGACACAGGGGAATTGCCAGGCTAGCAGAACCCCCGAGTGAGAGGAGGGCATGGTAACTGGCCCCCAACCTTGGGAGCTTCTCTCATCTCTGACGGATTATGCTCCAAACCTGTAGCTCAGGATGATGACCTAAGATTTCCAAAGTTACTTTCCTCTTTGCTGCATCTTGAATTCCCTGCTCATACCTATCAGTATGGGCAGAGCCAAAAGGAATCCCCTGATGCTGGGCCAAGGTGGCCCTTCTGTGCCTAGCTCCACCTTCCACCCAGCTGCATGCCCCATGTTGTGCCACACTTGGGGTCAACACTGATGGCTCTGGCCATAAGAAAGGTCAAAACCACCTTCCACCCTTAAGGCTCTTTGTCTGACAGGTAGTTCCTTATCAGAGCCCGATTTGAAATGCTGGAGTATGTTCTTCCTTCTTCTCTATGAAATGTATAAAAAGGAAGCACACTGTCTTCTTTGACCCCTGGGGAATCTGGGCCCCACTGGCAAGCCTGTCTTCTCAGACTTCCTTTCCTTCTAAGCGAGTAGAATGCCAATGGCCTGAGAAGGGCAGTGTGACCAGATGAAGATATGGATGCAATCCCTGCTGTGCCTTTCTTGTCTTTCAGATGAAAAGAAATGTCTCTGTTTTTCCTTCTCCAGATCCCAATGCATGTGCCATCTCAAATGCTGCTTAAAAAACAAACAAAAAACCTAGCATTCTATACTAACATTTGCTATAACATGACAAAGTCAGCAAAATTTGTTGCTTGATTGTATAATCATCTGTCAAAGAGGTTTCACAACCCTTCCCTTGCTGCTGGCCAGTTAGATTTGTGACTCTGAAGATGAAGACACATCTGGCACACTCACTGTAGGGCACAAGTACTGCAGGACACACTTGGCTCCTCTGCCCATTCCTGAACAGAGCTGCGGTGTAGACCTCCCCTGTGCTCATAGGCATGCAGGGCAGCCCAGAGTATCCAGGAGCTTTGAGGAAACACAGTTGTTTCAGCCAATCTCCAACCTTTGGGTTCAGTTGTTCCAGCTGAGGAAGGACCAGGCATAACACTGATTCTACTGATACACAGTGAGCTGAGTGGCCTGGGAAATAGTGTCCTGCTCTATCATTTCTCAGCTCTATGACCACTTTCAACTGTCTTCATCTGTAAAATAGGAACAATAAAATCTACCATGGGGTCATTGTAAGGATTAAATCAAACAGCACAGACAACAGCAGAGCCTGGTATATCATAAGCATTCTGTAAATTTTAATTTGCTGTTTCTAACACCTCACCAATTCTATTTTCTCCATTCACTTCTTCAACCAGACTGTGGGACCTGGCAACAGCTTTTACCTGTATACCCTGATCATAGGCCTGGCACAGGATGGGTACACAGAGACCTGGATATTGAAAAGTTGAGTTCAATCAAAGACTTATAACATTCTTTCTATCTAGTAAGTCCTTTTGGGGTGTTTTATAACCATTCTGTCTGACTCACTGTATTCCTTAAATCTGTGAAAATGGATTTTTTGGTTTAGGATTATGTGAACAGCACTGAGCACTTAATGCCGTCTTGTCAGAGTCAACACCAAAGTGCAGGTGCAGTAACAGGGTCCTTGTTCTCCCCAACTCATCAGCCGTAGATAAGGAATGATCCCGGACACCAAGGATGGGTTACACAACACAATGGGTCTCTGGTCACAGCCATTTCACTGACAGTAGCAAGTTTTGGTTTCTCTTCTGTGCCTGGCCACTCTTCCTAGGGAGGAAGGCTCACAGTCCTGCCTGAACGCTTTGCTGACCTGATCTGGGCCCTGCCTGGATTCTGGCCCATCCAACCTTTAAGAGCCCGAGTTTCAATCTGAGTGAAGAGTTTCTCTTCCTTGCTGATAATGCTCTTACTTTTTCAAGATTCTGTTACTCTTGCTGTTTCTCTTTTCACATCGACTGGGCAGCTGGCCCCTCCTCTGCAATACGCAGGACTTCCAGACACAGTACATCTGCTCAGAAATGCTCTAGTCCCATCTTGTGGTCCCCACCAGCCTCTGTGGTTTTAGCCCAAGATCCTCCTTATGTGAGAAGCCTCTCAGACGGTGATCCCACACACATGCTGACACAGCAGTGGCCCCCAGCACCCACAAGCCCTCGGTGCCCCTGTCTGCTTTCCACCATCCCCACCAGCCCCTTGAAGCTTGAACTCTGAACTCAGCACTTTGAAATCAGCTCAGCTTTGAACTCAGCACTTTGCCCAGGAGGCTGGCTCACGCTGGAAACTTCACAAAGGAAACAAATACATAAATAAGCAGATTAACTTCACTCGATAACAACAATAACAACAAAAAACCTTTATCATTTAACAGCTTGGATTTTGAAACCATACTCTGAAAGTTTGGATCCAGACGCAAATTTAAAATGCTGTCCCTTTAAAATCTCTAGGAAGAAACTAGTACAGATAAAAGCAAAAAGCTGATCCTCACTGAAGAAAGCTCTTGCTCTATATTTTCCTAATCATTTCTACCAATAATTTAATCAGTGCTTTGGATTTATATCAAGTGAGGATAAGGAACAACTCCATCTTTGCCTTTGGACTTGCCTGGGGACAGTGAAATGTGTCATATGACTTTCAGAGGCTTTCTGAACACATGTTAAGCAGTCATCTTCAAAATATCTGTTGTGCTTTTGTGGCAAAATACACATAACATACAGCTCACCATCGAGATATCTTCATGGCACAATTGGGTGGCATTAAGTATGTTCACTTTGCTGGGCACCTCCACCCATCTCCAGAACTCTTCTCAGTGTGTGAACCTGAAACTGTCCCTGTCCAACAGTCACAACCCCCACCTGGTTTCCCCTTTGCCATCCTACTTTCTGTCTCTGCCTCTGACCTCACTGAGCAACCTACAATGGAAACTTACAACGCATGTTCTTTTGGGACCGAATTCTTTCACTTAGCACAATGTCCTCAAGGTCCATCCTTAATGTAGCATCCATCAGAATTTCCTTCCTTTTGAGACAAAATGACACTACTGCATAATTAGACCACATTTGGTCTACTCATCTAAACTGATGGCACTGGAGCAACCTCAATCTTTTGGCCCTTGTCAGTAATGCTGCTTGTGAACATAGACATGCAAATATCTGTTTAGGCCCTCCTCTGAGTTCCTTCAGGTGTACGGCCAGACTTGGAGCTGCTGGGCTATGTGGTAACTGAGTTTTTAATTTTTATTTGAGGGCTTGCCATATGGTCTCCCACAGTGGCTGATCCATTTTGTGCTCACTCCCACCCGTAATGCAAAAAGTGTTCCCACTTCTCTACACCTTTGCCAATGCTTGTTATTTTCTGGTTTGTTTGTCTGTTTGTTTTCTAGTATCCATCCTAATGGATATAAAGAATTTCTTCCTTGAAAATCAGAAAAGTTTTAGTGTCTTCAGACACTAAGAAGAAAGTCCTATACCTAGATCTTGGACATACACTGGGCTAGCATTGACTTTATTATTTACTTACATTCTAATTTTCCATTATTTTAGCCCTTTGGGTAGATTTAGCAAAATACCTTAGATTGGGTAACTCCTCAACAATAGCTACTGATTGCTCACAGTTCTGGAGAAGCCATATTGCTGCTAAATTTGGTATCTAGCAAGGGCTGCTGACTGCTTCAGAGATGGTCTTGTTGTTGAGTCCTCCCATGGCAGAAGGGGCCAGAGAGCTCCCTCAAATCTCTTTTGCATCGGTACTAATCTCACCTGAGATGGCAGACTCAGTGACTTTCCCATAGACACACCTCTTGGTATTAGCTTATAGGGTATTAGGTTCCAGCATAGGTTTGGAGAAGAGGGAAACTAGTACCCAACTGTAGCACCCCTTATTCTCTTTCTTTGGCCTGTTTTTGCTTACCTGTATTTTGATTTTCCTTATATTGAACTCTGTACTGGTAAACTTTCTGAGGAAAAAAGAAGAGTCACCATTTTATTTGCAGCATTTTCTAATTTCCCTGGTGTAAATACTTCCCACCGTGGTGGATTTTAAGCTGCCAGTGGTTTTGAGAACTGGTTTACCAAGTTCTTGAGC